TTTAAATTACAAGTAAATATTGACAAAAAATAATTAACCATTTTATTCGAAAAATTACTCAACTAAAGAATTTCACTCTGAATTAATAACAAATTCTAATAAGTTTAATTTAACAATTTTTATTGTTTAATATTTAATGCTTTAATTTGCCACATATTTTCATTGAGAATATTTGCGATAAACGTATGATAATTCATTATTCTAAATATTGTAATTTACAGAGTTATATGTAATTTTAAACACGATTACTTTATTATCCTTACATATTTTTGTTTTATATACAAATACGATATCTGCTTCATTAACAACAAAACACGAAGAAGATAATAAAATTATTTTAGGCTTTTATTTTGATTTGCAAGTTATTAAACATGCAATTATCACCAGTTATTCATTTTTTTGTGTGTTTTTTTTGTGTTTTTGTGTGTGTTTTTTTTTTTTTTTTTTTGTTTTGTTTTGATAACGCAAATTACTCTTATTAGTATTATAGAAAAATGTGTCGATAATATAAAAAAGCGAAGTATATATACATTTTCATTACGCAGGATAAAATTAATTATTCAACAAAGGTTCTTGTACTTGAAAAATTATACTTACCTAAAATATTCGATACTTCATGGATTAATAAACTCTCATACGTTAAGCATGCGCTGCTTATTGTTACAATGAGATATTAATTCTCGTCACCCGAAAAAAGAAAACAAAAAAAAAAAAAAAAAAAAAACAAAAAATACGGAAAGTCTTACATTCATAATGTAAATAATAAAAGTAAGGAGGTTAAATGATATTTAATTGTACAGCGTAGTCGACACACTACGTGCTAAAAAATGTTTTCCTTCATTTTACGAATATCGTAAATAAAATAAGTAATCCATTCGACTATTGAATCACAATAAAAAGAACAATAACAAGTTATGCCGTTGATGCATGCGTATTGAAAGGAAGGGACGGTTATATTTGGACTCAAACACTCATGAAACGCTCCATTGTTATTTTTATTATATTAAGTAATGTAGGAAACGTTTCAATTGCCACTACGATAAATGACAGGTCATTTCACTATTATAAAGAATTATCGAGAGTGTCCGTGTCCGTGTTAAGATTTTTTGTTTTCCAAGATAATCCGCATAATCTCTGTGTTCAAGTGTTATATTAAAAAAAAAATAAAAATAAAAAAAATAAAAAAAAAAAAAAAGAAAAAAAAATTTTCTTAGTTGTTGTTACGAGTGTAAACTGAAATATAGACAATCAACGTTTATCGTTTAGCCGTGAAACAGATCAATGAATCAAAGAATCAGCGGATAAGTTATCTCGGAATGAAGCATTGGAGAGATCTTTCGGTATCGTCGAGCTCTGCCAACATTTTGTAGTGCATCTCGTACTCGCTCTCCTTCCTGCGTACAACGAGTAAATGAAGCGAAATCATGTCGCTATGTTGCATTTTAAGATTGGCCCATTCATAGCACACATATACAGGAGCATCTCTCTTTCTTTATTATTTTTTTCATTTTTCTTCTTCATTTTTAGTGTCGTACTACCATATATTATATAACGTCTCGCACATCGAATTTTGTTCGAAAGTCAAGTAATGTCGTGCTCGATATAATGTAACAGATTTCCAAATCTAATATACGGCATAAATTTACCGTGAAATTTACTAAAAAAGACTATTTGTATCTAAATTGTGATTTTTAAAATTTGAAAATATTTCCCTTCACGAATGCACGAGTTTATATAGAAAAAAAAAAAAAAATAAAAAAATAAAAAAAAAATAAAATAAAAATTGAAAGAAAGATGTTATTATCAAAATTACATCGATAATCATTTTGAAAATGTTAAAAATCTATTATTTAGAAAAGGAATATTGTTAAATTATTATTTAGGTATTTAATGTGAAAAGTAAATTTGAATAAAAATAATTCTTAAAAATAAAAATAAATTAAAGAAATTTTCAATAAGCATTGGTGTAACAATAATCGAATGTTTTATTATAATACAAATAGAAAATTTAATTTAGTATTCTAAATAAGTGCAGGTTAATCAAGTTTCATTAACATCACATCACATATTCCGTCAATTCTTTTTCTTTTAAAATATCTATTTTAAAATTTATGGGTGTTCCATGTAAATCACCAAAAATTTCATTCTAATCTGCATATTAAAGAACATGAATAATGACCCGATCATTTCATAAACAAATTATACGTCAATTTGGTTCAGCGTTAATGTATAACATCGCACGAAAAATAAAAATAAAAATCTACAATCAATTTCATATCATTCAATTTCTATAATTGTATTTTGAAATCTTTGATAATAAAGAATAATTTTATTTCTATGTACATAAAAGAAAAAAAAATATATATATATATATATATATATATATATATATATACACTTGCCATTATAATATGGAAATTTTCTTTATTGAGAATACATGATGGAAACTTATAATTAGATGTCAGGAAACTGGGATGTGAAACTCTAATGTCGGCAACGCCTTCAAATGTATTCTGTATAATATTGATTTTCCATATAAAATTAATATTTCTATGCCCATTCCTATTCTATTGCCTTGACTTTCGTACGAGCGTAAATGGTTGCGACAATACTATCTACATAATTGTAATTTATTTATAATATTCTATGCGTTTATTTCCAAAGAAAGTCATCGAATTGTGACATGAGACACGAGCTTAAACCTGCCTCAACCGCTGCCAAATAAAACTTTATAAAAATATATTAACAAATGGTAAATGTTTATCTCTAACAGTGTTACCGTATGTATAATATATATAAAGTATTTATATAATAATAATTCGTCATGTGGCTCACGCTAACCGACAATACATGTACAATGACTGACTATGTACATATTACAAATTCTATCTAAGTAAGACAATTTACAACATATTATTTAATGTACTTTTTAGATAAATTTATGCTTTAACCTTTAATAGTTGACATTTGCAGTTACGAGTATTATCAGGAAAAACTTTGATTTTTCGAAGGATAAATAGAAAATATAAAAACAACAACAAAAAAATAATGAGATAATAATTCGTTCTAATTTTTGCTTGACTCTTACGTTCCTTGCGATTACTATTTTAAGCATTTCTGTCGGTATACTTATATAATTAATGAAAAATCTATCGAATAAAACTATCGTTGGCTTTACTACATACAAATTTTTCATTCTATACAATTATTTACACATCGTGAACTTAGCATTTCCACACGTATGTTCGAGTATTTTTCGTTAAATATAATAGTTTAATAATTATAGTCGTGTTAGTAATTAGATTCGTGCGTTCTTGGAAAAAAGTACGGAGGCACAAACTCTACGACTTTCACTCTACAATAAAATCTTTGACTGTGTAACATTTACCAAAATATGCCATCGATTATATCTCTGTCGCTCATTACGAAACATATAATTTCAATGAAAAAGAAAATTTTTAACGCTATTTGCAAAATAATGCCGTAATCATATTCGAATAACGGGAACTTCCGCCATAGTGGAGTATCAAACAAACCTCTTGTATAATACTTTTTTCTCAAGAAACACTACTTCCAAATACAATTTTATTTTCATTTTAACATGCATTGCTCCGTCAGTCAGTCTCTCTTGCTCTCTCTTACCCCCCCCCCTCATCTCTCCCTCTCTTACACGCTCTTTGTTTTTAGCTCTTCGTTTGCTTTTTGTTTGTTTATCTTTCATTAATTAATCCCCATCTTGACCTCATTTATTGCTCCTAATAGCACAAGTAAGTATGTGTGCTGCATGTACCTTCCGTAGTGGTTAAAATTCATCCTTAGTAAGGTGCATTCGCATGAATTAGTGCTTCGGAAAATGTAATCTACCTTCTGATGTTTAGTAGTGGCGCATACTATTCGTCGTCGTCTGATGTACCAGATACGCCGATATGGGCAGAACCTTGCTAGGGAGATTATAAATTTTTTATTTCTTTTCCTTCTCCTCTCTCTCTCTCTCTCTCTCTCTCTCTCTCTCTCTCTCTCTCTCTCTCTCTCTCTCTCTATATCTCTATCTATATATCTCTCTATCTATATATATATATATATCCCTCTTAGTTTCACTCTCTTATCATCTTTATCTCATTTTCATTTGCTCATGTTTTCTCATTATATTTATTAATTTTTTATTTTAATTTATTTATCTATTTTTTTTTCATTTCATTCGACAGCAATGGTTTTTATAACATACTAAGCTTTTTATTAGCTTGGTAATCCCTTATTATTTGAGTGGTACCGAATACTTTCGTAATCTACAATGAATTTTGACTTGATAAGTAATTTTCTCACCAGACTTTAATACATAATTTTAATTGGATCGAAAGGTAATAAAATATACTTTAATAAAGAGAATAAAATGCATGTAATCTACGACATTCTCAAAATATTTGTTTCAAATGATTGAGAGTTGTTCACAATTTGTTGAAGTAATAAGTTTTAAAAAGTAATAAAAGTTTATTTGTTAATTTTTTTTATAAATAAAAATAAGAAAATATGTTGGAAAAATTTATTCAAATGTATTAATGACACAACTCTCTATTTAATTGTTAATATGTTGCATGTATTAAATAAAATATATGAAGTAATATGGTTTGAAATATCATAAAGTAATTTTGCAAATGACAGAACATGCTTTATATAAAAATATAAAATTAAATACCGATACAGTAATTTAATTTCTGTTATCGAACGTTTGACAGAATAATATAAATATCTTAAATGCTTGTAGTAAAAGTATTCCAATGATTTTTTTCGACAACAAATACGCTTTGACATTTCTTTATACTACAGTAAATTTGGCATATTGACGAGAAAATTATGTGAGAGAGAGATAGAGAGGGAGAGAGAGAGAGAGAGAGAGAGAGAGAGATAGAGAGAGAAAGAGAGAGAGACACACACAGATTTGCGAAAAAGAAAAGTTCTCACGAGAATTGGCAAGTTGATGCACTCGGGGTCGTAATGGTGACTCAAGGTCTTGTCCGCAGTATGAATCCTATAATCAAGCAGATTAGCAGTCGCGTCATATCCGGAGCGATGTTGTTGCTGTGACTGTAACCTGCAGCGAGGGTCACATTGAGAGAGACGGAAGCATCTGCGAGACCTTCGGGTGAACGCACCAACAATAGCCATTCCCCAGCGTGCGATCGTTGGACCCGTTCGAAGCGCAGGATACTCCGGTGACAGGCTTCAGCACCACCGTCCTAGAAAACCAAAAGCAATTGTCGACTGATTAGGGTGGTGGTGGTAGGGGGGGGTAGCAATAACGCACATTGTCAAACAAAAGCAATGCTAATCGTATGATTGGAATTTGCTTGTATTAGGCCGTTCCAACTTTCCTTAATTATCGCGATAATTCGAGACGTCTTCGGAATACCTCCGTTTACTCATTATAATTTATATTTTTATTTGTACACGTTTTAATTGGACATAAGGATGCAATCATTCATTATTATCGCGAGCTCTCAATAAAAGCTCGTAAAAATATTTTATTGATAATTGAAGTAGAAAATATTATTTCTTTGAAAAAGAAATTCAATAAAATTAATAATTGAAATTCCAAATGTTACGAATGATTATCTATGTATATAGTCCATAGAACATAGTACATGGAACCACGTGGTATATAGTCCATAGAAAGAAAAAAAAAAGAAGATGTCTTCAAAAGAATGGAATATTTGCCCAATACAATATATTAACAATTGTAATGTATATTATAATCGATGCCCTCATAACTAGATTTATCCGTATGATGTAATTCTTATGTAGCACAACAAACACAAACACACGGCAAACACACACATTCTTTCATTGAATACACAGAGGAGAGGCAATTAAGTTTTCTCGCGTATACAAGTTTCCAGGTCTCCTAATTTCGTATCTGCACGCGTATATGTCTTGGGTACTACCTTTCTAGTCTCACAGTCGCACGAATTTCTGCGGATACGTAGGTATGGATTGAGAGTAAAAGGCAAATGGAGACATTGAGAGTGAGAGCTGCAGCTCGAGAAGGCTTCATCCCGATATTCTCTTGAATAATATATCGAGTACGGAGGGGGGTGGGGTGGGGTGGGAAGGAGGAGCGAGAAGTGTACACCTTTCTCTGTGTCGCCCCGAGCCGCAGAGAAGTCTGAAGGGGTGAGAAGAAGGCCTCCGGGATTGGCAAGAGGATCGCGAGCGCAAAACACGGGAATGTTGGAGAGCATTGAATCGTGAATCCAGCTTGGCTGGCTTGGCTGTAAGAACACTGTGAAAGCAACGGGAAGGACGAGGGTAGCGGGGCTAGTGTGGGCGGTTGGCGGGAGGAGTAGGGGAGTGGGAGGAGAAGGAGGTGGAGGAGGTGGGCGAATGTCACGAGGGTGGAGAGCGCAGAATGGGAAAGACGTTCGGATGAGTTCAATGAAGCGAGAAACTGTAACTCGTTGTGCGAAGATAAAATATTGCTTGGCTGTTCCTGCGGATCGATTTCCTGCTAGAGTTTGTTCCCCCTCTGCTCTGCTCTGCTCTGCTCTGCTCTGCTCTGCTCTGCTCTCTCTCTCTCTCTCTCTCTCTCTCTCTCTCTTATTCATTTCATTTTATTCAATTTTCAATGCTTATAATGTCTATCGATACACGTTTGCAAAAGTAAATTTGAATTGAAAAATTTTGCAATAAATTATAAATCTCGATATCCTATTTAATGATTTATGGATATATTATAGAAATTCAAGAGCCATTATAAATATTCAAATTATAATTAAACATCAAAATACCCAAAGGGCAAATGAAATTCTTCGAGGTGGCTAAGATTAGCCAATATTGGCTTGAAAAAAGTTTTAAATGAGATTATGAAAATCTTATTATTTATAGAAAGGAATTATTTTCAATATATAAAGTATATATCAAATATAAAGTATACAACAAATGTTCAGTTTTATTCAGTTTTACATATAACTAATAAGACATATGATTTTACTTGTAGTAATGATGCATAACCGATAATAAACTAATGTTTTGTAATTTAGCGGAACTTGTAGGGATTATCTCGTAAGATTTCGATTATCATTGGATTCTTATAATAAAGTAATACTCGTAACACATTCAAAATACATATTACAAAAGATGAAAATAAGAGATTAATTTTACCTCTATAAGCAGAGCTTGAACGCCATCACGTAACTCACCACCTGGCACATAAACGCGTTCCTCGGACATCCAAAGAACTTTGGTATAACTGGGTTCGGCACAAAATTCAACTATAACATCGAATTTATCCCCTTCATTCATTGTCATTGTTTGTGTTAGTGGATGAACCATTGGTCGACCTAAAAACAGATATTATTTCAAGTGCCATAAGACATTATTCTATTATTTGCTCTTTTGAAATGCTTAATATAACAAAACATATCTTACGCGTTGCAAATAACTGACAAACTATAAATAGCTGACTAATTACTTATTATTTATGTACCAAAGTTTTACCACAAGATTTAATATTAATACTTATAATTAAACGGTAATTTATCTAAATGTAATATATATATATATATATATATATTCATTAATACCTACTTCGATAAAATAACTACATAATCTTTTTCGCTGGAGTTGATTTAGTAATCTTATACTATCGCAATACAAAATTATGGTATACTAAAGAGGATATGTGTTAATCAATTTATCGATACAAGTAAAATAATACTTTATCTCTAAAATCTATCCAACGGATACTTTTAGTATTGTCAGAGAAGTTCGTCCATACATTTTATTTAATCTACCATTTCTTATCAATACGTATGAAGGAAACAAAAAAAAAAATCCAATACTTGGCTAAATATCCAATAGAGATAATTAAAAATATATTTTTTTAATATTTTAGAGTGCTTTATGTAACAATTTTCTCTTTGAAATTTAATAAATAACGATTATCAAAATGAAATAATTCTTATAATCTCGTTTTTATTAGTAAAGTCAAATAAGCTTTTATATTATTTGTAAATTAGTTTTATTTCGATTACATCTGAGAAATTAATTTATTTTTATCATTTTCTAAAAAAAAAAAAAATTCTATCCTATATGCAATTTTGTAAAGATATTTAAATTAATGTTTTTCATTCTTTGAAACTTTGATTTATTTATTATTATTTTTCTTTTTTTTTTTGATAATTGAATGTTTATGAGAGGAAACGCGAGGATCATTCGTGAGAAACTTGGAGAAAATCTCGCCACGTATAATGAGGTAACGGAAATGTTTTGTGAATAATTCAGAAGTCGAATGTACGAAGATCAGCAGTGGCATAGGAGTAGCCTAAGGGAAATACAACCAATTGCAAGTACGACAACTTGCTGTTATGGTTATATACGTACAAACTTATATACACATTTAAGCAATAGCAGCGGCAACGAGTGCACTGCACTCTGACTAATTGAAGCGTAGATGCTGCTGTGGTCTAGTCACATCAACCCTTCCTTTCTCATCTGCATAGATTTGCCGCTTCGTAAAATCTTGAGCTTTCTGACCCTTTCAGTTTGCAGCACTGCAAGCCTCTCTTCCCCCCCCCCCCCGTGCGCTC